ACAACAACACTTGAGCTTCACCATGTTTCGTACTTAGCATTCTTAGTACTAGTACTGTAGCCTGATATGGATTCTACTGAAGAGCGGTTGGAATTCACCACTGAAGAGCGGGTGGAATTCACCACTGAGTCATCATCAGAATCAGAACGAAGACAAAAATTGCCGGCTCTCTATTCAGTTGTGGTTTCCAGCTGTTGTGCTTACGTTGTATTTGTTATTTTTGCATTCATCTCTAGCAATGCTATAATAGAAACTTCGGTGCACAACAAGTCACTTTCTGAGCCGCCGACTGTTCCGACGTCAAATAACTACGCCAATTCCATTTATTCATTATTAGTTATTGTATCCCTTGGGGTTGCTGTTGGATATTTCACACCTATGTCGCCTGTCAAGTCTCCTAGGTACTGCTGGTGGTCGCGTCCATAGTGTTGAGAAATGCGCCCGGAATCAGTGTTTGCAATCAAGGAATGAAGTGTTGTACTGAGAAGGGTTTCTTTTATTGTGATTCTACTTCGTGGTGGACTCTCTACTGAGTGCGGAACGCGCACAGCGCGCGTTAAAGTGCGCCTTGCAACTGTCCTGATTCCTTGCACCGGTAGAGCACTCCTTGCACGCGTAGAGCGCTAAATAGTGCTGGTATGGAAAATGATGTCACACTCGTGATCAAGACATCGAATAACATCGATAGACAAAGTTTCAGCGAAAATTTTTTTGAGTTCTTGGGATAGGAATAGTTCAATAATGCCTAGTTCTCTTTATTGTCAATTTCTTCATCCTTGCTCTTCTTTTCGTTTCCTCGTGACGGGGGGGGTCGTATCAAGACCCTTACTTGGAGGGGGAGGGGTCGTATTTTTTAGGAAATGATCACAACGCAATGGCGTGCCCTAGTTGTATTGCTCAAGAGCTGGGCTTACTTTACGCAGTACTGCTCAGTCAGATACGACATCCCTCTGATGTGCATTCAAGCCACGGTGGACGACCTCATATTCTGGCCTGCAGACGTATTTTTACATTTGAGGGAAAAATCCTGACGATTTGGGCGAGCATGATTCACCTGAGGTTTCTCGCTCAACTGCTGCTAGAAAAAGCAATCCTCAACCTTTCCTTGAAACTTATTCAATGGTGGGTTTTTGCGCATATAATTTGTGAATTTGGATACACCCTTCATATTATATTCAAAAGAGTAGTGTTATTCGGCGAAACAGTTCAAATACATGAAAATATTTTCAAATTATGGAGTGGTTGGAAAATTCACGTGAAACAAGTGAGGTTAAGTGCATAGAGGGAACATAATCGGCGTTCGATAGTGACGTAAAGCGGACCGGAGCAGAATTAGGCCAAAGTAGTTGGAAATGGCGCCTATGATTCCGAATGCAGTGTCGAAGGCAGTCCATGTTGGGAGCAATGCGTTTGCGTGACACCATTCTGAAAGGTGAATGAGCGCAAGACGAAATAAACTAGATGGGGACCTGAAGATGCACTTGTGGATTTCCTTTTACCCCTTTTCCCAATTTACAACTTTCCGCAACTGCTGCTACGCAATGGCTGGAAAGCCAATCAGGCAGAGATAAAGCAAGAAATTGTTGGGGTACGGACTATTTGGGTTTTTTTTTCAAGTGGAAAAATTAGCCTAGCATTTCCGCCTGAAACGTCTGTTTCCATGGAAGGACATTAGTTTTGGAATGTGGAGTCAGGAATGAGAAGAGCAAATTAGAATAGTCTGGCACGAGTCATTCCAATTACCTCCAGTTTGTTGACTGACGAAAACGCTACCTCTCATACAATATGGTAAACTTTATTCAAGTGTTTAAGTTCTATTGAGTCGTGTTGGTCCTCAGTTATGTTTGGCTTACTTATTCATTGCAGATTAACCGTCGTTCAATCCTTCTGTCAAGCTATCGTTTAAATGGTCAAAAGGGCAAGATCGCGCGGGAAAGAGCCCTATATAAGGGCAACTGTGAGCAGAGACCGGTCGCTCTGTGCTCTGCACTTCTCGTCGATCCTTACGCAATATCCGCTGCACATCAATATTCAAACTATCGTGCTACTATACTACGAGGTTAACAAGATATTCTACCTGGTATTCTAGTTATTCTACTGACCGGTGAAGTTGGATAATAAACTAATTACTCTTTGTCTTCAGAGAGCAATATAACCAATATTATCAATATCAAACCAATCAATCAATCAATATCCGCGTGGCCAGTGGACTCAAGACACTGAAGGGCGAGCTTTCCCACAAGCAGCGAGTCATTCCAATTACTCCAGTTTTGTTGACTGATCGCGCACTTTTGGGGCGGCATGAGCGTGTGTAACCTCGAGAGCTAATAGTTGAGAACGTATTTGGGCTTTAACATATAGCCTAAATTCCGTTTCGAGACTATCCCTACATTTCATAATTTGATCAGTTTTGACTCAGCGCTTATCACACTTACCTTTAACCATATCCACCTTTTCGTCGGAAATATGGCCAATTTAGAAATGTTGAAAATGTATCAGTAGTTCGGATTTTGAATGGAATTTCTTTGCATCGTGAGGGTCAAGTGGTGTAGTGACAAGTGGCGAGCTTACCACCCGCTTGGTCCTGGCTTCAAATCGCGGGTAGTCTCCCGCCCAGCAAACCAAGCCCGCTACCCACCGGAGACGGTAAATTGGCACCAGGTTCGCCTGGGATCATAAAACAGTGACTTGCACATCGGCTGGCCCCTGGAATTCATTCTATAGGTCGCACCTCATTCAATAAGCCACTCATCCCACAAAGGGATTGATCAACAGCGCAACTTTATCTACTTTACCCTTTATAATACTCCGCAGCGAAAGGTGAAACCGTTTTAAGCCAGTCGTTCATTACTGCTTTTATCAAGCCTCATTATTATCATTGGCTAATCATTGGAGTTGATTCAGAAGTCCTTTGACATCTGAAGCCTAAAATCTACTAGTGCACAAAAAGGAAACCAAGGCTAGTCATTTTATAATATGCTCCATTATTATCTATGATTTCTGCCAACGAGTGGTGGGTCGTAGATGCCCTTCCTCCAGAGCTTGGCTCCCTGAGCTTGAAGAATCCCATCTAGTACCTTTTTGACGTCGTCGTAGTTTTTGTATTTTCGATCGTTCAAATGGCGTTGCAGATTCGAGAGTAGGCGGTAGTCCGAGGGTGCAAGGTGTGGAGCGTATGATGGGTGGGGAACGACAGTCCAGCCATACGTCGCTAGTTTATTCGTCGCCCTTGGAATGTGTGTTCCGGCGTTTGTCATGCTCATAGTACACTTTGGCTGGTTTTCTCCATGTGTTCGTGGGAAGAGCCTTCAGATTTCGTAGTTGAGCAACGTCGTTGTCGGCAGTAACTTTTGTACCTTCTTTCAGTAGCTCCCAGTATTCTACCCCACAAACACTCCACCTGATGCATAGTATCACTTCCTTTCCATGCAGGTCAGGTTTTGGGACGTTTTCTGCTTGTCCTCCTTTGTCTCATTGGGCTCTACGGCAGATGTTGGAGTAAAGTACCCACTCTTCATCTCCTGTGAGGTTGTCCACGAGTGCGTGCGTTTGAGGGTGAGAAGAGCGATGGTCGCTCGACCATAAGCGTCCATTCGCTCTGTGATGACGCATGTTTTACCCAATCGCCAATTTTTGAACCTTTCTTATCGCCGCCGGTTGGCACATCAAGCTTGGCGCACAACTCACGAATGATTTAGTATGGGTCCGCCTTCACCTGCTCCCGTGATACATCCGAAGCTACAATCGTTGGAAGCCCTGTCCTTTCGCCATCCGATAGATCGTCTTTCTTGAACTAGGCGAACCAAGAGCGGACGCAGCTGCGAGCGGGAGCATTCATCTAAAACATCCTGCGGTGGGACTCGTAGGATTGTGCCGCAGAAAAGACACAACAACATGAAACGTTGCGGAGATAGCGTTCAGAGGGCGTTAATTCAGGCAGCATATTAGACAAGTTTGGTAGACCGTTCTTTCCCGAGCGGCTCTTCGAACTGCTCGAAAGATCTAAAAAGTTGGCGGGGTAAACGCTTCTGAAAATGACATCCACAAGTGTCCGAAGACCTTGAATCAAACTCCCCAAAACTGCGGATCCCTTGTTGGTGGAACATCGGAGTGAAATCGCTACTAATTTATGACTAATGAAAAGGAATGATCCGCGTTCATTCACTGAACATCTGCCCTTCGATACCCGATCCACAGTGGTCGCAGATTAGTTGAGTTTAGTGATAAGGTGCGTGAAAACGACGAGAGAGTGCCCCTTATAGGCCCTTGTCAGTCATTACATCGCGAACATTTTCCCACCACCAATATTTGGAACAGTAGCGGCATTTAGATGCGATTGTGCTCGTACAGTGAATTGTGAAGATAAATTTTGGAGAGTTTTATTCCTTTAAAAATGTCGGATCAAAGGTCCGCCTGGAATGTATAGGCGCTTCCGAAGGTCTGAGGGTTCAGTACGGGCTCGAATCGAGGATCGTGCACGTGGGGAGCGGTCTCATTTCACACTCCCCAGAGCAGCATCAAAATTTCAAATGTCACATGTATCCATTAAACACAGGAGTCCGTGAAAAAAAGTGGTAACGACACGCTTTTTTCATGAGGGCGCTTGGTGTGTATACGGTGGAGGTGTCGAAAATTATTAAATTACAAGTCCTGAGACACATAGTGTTTCGAGTTTTGAAAATGGCTGAATGATAAGGGTAGGCGCAGGAATCGTAACTTCGCACGCAACCAAGTGGCAGTCTGTGAGCGGCGGCTCGCATGCTTAATGGCAGACGATTTTAAGTGGCGTTGGTCGAGAGTAGACAATGTATGACCAAAAATTGACGTTCTCGTCTACATGAAATCCGATGCTTCAATCGAATGGCAGTGCAAATTGAGGAAACGTCGCGCTCACTGCCGCGCGCGACGGAGCGGCAATTTACGATTCTCTTGCGCGTCTCCATAATAATAAAAACTACTGTAGCATTCCGTTCGTGAATTCGAGAGGCATGGATAATTTTTCATTTGTTATTTTTTTTGATGTCCTTCGGGAACTTTCGATCATCGATTAAAGATTTCCTCCTCAAATAAGCAACAGCTTCGGCTAGCTCGTCATGTGGGAGTGCACCCTCGCTTGTCCTAGAAAAGATTTGGTTAAGCGTTTGCAATTGGGGATTACCTTCATGAATACCTGGGTTTGTCACGAAATGCTGCATGCTCGTCGTCACTCTCGAAAGCTGCATGCGTGGATTTACTTCGATCCCTCGACGGGTAGCTCGATTGTGGGGAATGAGGTCGACTGTGACCGCTCATGGTGTTTTGTTCAGCAGAAAAAGCACGCAGTCTCGGATCAATTACCTGCAATATTGTTTCATTTCTTGAAGAAAAGTTTGAGCCGCTAATGATGTACGATCTTTAAGCGACTGCAGTCCAATGAGCCTAAATGCAGTCATTGTTCGGTTCGCTGCAGATTTTATCTGTTGCGTTCAGGGGTTTACATGGTTTTCCAACCTGCATTTTCCTTCGCAGGCGACGAAAGACTGGTCATATCTTTTGTATCAGTCGCTTTTAGCCAGTCGTTGCCGCTTACCGTTACTTGCGTTACTTCTACAGGTGGTGGAGAAGAGCGGGCCAAGCCTAGCCTCACGGACACGACGCATCATCTGCAGCGAAACAGACTGTGTTGTCATTTTTCACACTTCGTCATTTTTCACATTTTAACGATGTAATCCTCATGAACATACCAACCTGTCCTTCCAGTGTGGAACTTCCAGCTTCCATTTTCCGCCCCAATCTTTGCTGCTCAACGCGATACAAAGCAAGTTCCTTTCTGTTATTAACTATTATCTATTTTCCAAATTTTATCCTGTGCACTGCTTTTGTCTCACGGATAAGGATGGTGTCATAACTTCTTTGCATGTCTTCAAGCAACTTTTCACTTGGAGGCATGTACCGCGGTCAACCGGTGCTAGCGATAAGGTGGCAAGTAATTATTAGCGAGAAAAAGACTGTTGAATTTCCGCCCTTCCAAAGATGCCCTTTATGGTATTAATCTCTCCCCCGATCCGAGCTTGTACAAGCGTTACAACCGAGAGGAGAGTTTCTTTCGAAGGATTTTCACTCCTTGGTACCTCTGTTCTCTCTTGGAACCTCTCATAATCTAGATTAGAAAGAGATAGGGAGTAGTAGAACACCGTTAAGAAGATTTCAGAAATGAACGTTGAGTGTTGTATTAGGCAGTGGGCGGGTCGTTATTCTATCCAGCTTCACTTTTCCCTTATTTTGCCGGCGAGTCCCTCTTGGTCGTAGACTACATGGCTTCCTTTCATGTCGCGCGTCTGCAACCATGTGCTATTAGCTCATGCAAAGAACGGACTCGATGCCAACGGCAAGTGAGGCAAACATTACCGTTGGATAGGCGAAAAAGTTTGAAGTACAAACCTCGAGCGTCGGTGTAAGAATGTCAACAACCGTAGAAACTTTCTTTGGAGGTTTGCGAATTCTTTCTTTCGAGGATGGGACATGAGACGCCAAGACTCTTCCTCTGTGAGCTCGCTCCTGTGAACGCTCAAGTTCTCGGCGTACCTGGAATAGTTCAGGTTGTCTAGGAAATTCACTTGAAGTCAAATGAACTGAAGGCGTTCTCCTGAAAGCCACTGCCAGGTTATGTTTTCAGCCACTTGGACATCAAACTGTTTACCGAACGTGTATACTTACAGCCATTACTATCATTGCCACCAGGAAAAATTTCTTCTCAGAAACAGCAGGCCACAGAAACTTTTCATAAGATGCGGTAGAACAGAAGATCTGTTTTGGATGTTATCACGTTATCAAACTCACGTCACTCAGTGCGACAACACCAATCAGTCGGCCTCCTTCAGTGACATACGCTATGCTGAGTTGCAACATCGAGAAGATCGAGTGGACCTGCAAAGGGCATCACGTTGTTAGTACATTTTTTCATGAACTGCTCCTGCGCAGTCAATGCTTCGACACTGGAGGAAGAGTTGAGCTTAGGATCAGTCCCTTTTCTAAAATGCCTCATGCATTCCACATGTTTTCGGAATCGTAGTGGCAGTTGAATGCAATATGTCCTACACAGTGACCATGTACAAAGTCAATATTTGTTGTCAGTAAACGAATCCTGAAATTAAATCCAATTTTCATGCAGAGAAAAATTACTTGGTTGCAATGAGCGCCAGCCAAATCCCTAACGTTAAAGGCAGTTGGCACGATAAATCGCTATATAATACAGGTGTAGGATTTGTACAACTGGCTTAACAGAATTCCGTGACCTCGGGACAGCGCTGCGTGAAGCCTTTCCAGGAGTACCCCTATAACGCCCTATTGAGCAACAACTTTACGTCCCAAACGCCTTCCTTGCCCGCCCGCCCACAAACGGACGACCGTTTCTGACGCTCGTATTCATTCATTTGCTGAGCAAATTATGAAGCGAAGGGATTGGTATGAAGCGGCGGTAATGCTCCATGCATATATGGGTACCCATATGCAGACGTATCTTCGGTAGCGGTGATTGGTAAGATGCCTGCGGGAAACTCGTCCGAAATCGATTTACAAGTCACTGAGAACGGAGGCTTTTCTTCGCAGGATTTTGACCGTTTCACTCCGTTCTTTCGCCATTTCCCCACTATACAGCGCCCTACTAGCATTTTAGGCTAAGTAGGGAACCATACGTGCAACTGCCTTTAACTCGAGCACAGGCCGCCCTGCTAGGCGAAGCCAACTTTCACTAGACCAACTCCACACAGTGTGTCAGCATATAATTTTCGTAACCCAGAAGATAACATATATAGCGGACTGCGCTCATTCGGAGGAGTTTCCTGATTACTGGCATTTTGCAAGTAAGTTCGACTTAGCCTCAAGATACAATCAATATTACAAAAACGCCGTTTAATGGCACGACTATATTTAAAAAATTTACTGAAATGGGATTATTTAAACGAAACGAGGTAGCGGCGACACAACTGACCAAACACGTTATGAAACGAGAAAGGGTAGGTGAGCGAAATTGTGAAGTCCGGCCTTCGACACATTCAGCGCGTTTTTTCTATTACCCCCATACAGCTGCGTGGGAATAAACACTAGGTGGTCCATAATAGAAGAAATTTTTTGCTTAAAGCTTAAGGCTTTGTATCCTTCACCCTTCCACGCTATCAACAAAGCATAGGAGACGGGAGGGGGACGAAAATCTTCCAGAGAGAATCTGTTAGAGAAGGTGCAGAAGAAGGTGGCGTCGCGTAATGCGACCTCATCCGTGATCAAATCGTGTCCTGAGTTCGGTTTTTTCTTACAATTCATAGCCAGTTAAAGAGCGCATTATCCTAACATGTGCATCAGCTGGCTACTGACTGCACAATGACAGCGAATTTTTTTTAAATTCACTAGGATTTTGAAGGGAAGTGGTATGCGTGGCACATTCCAAACTGTCAAAACTGAATTTCACGCTTTTCGCGCATTCATTTCGAAAGCAGGATTGAATAGAACTTTGTACCTTGTAAAGAGATGTCTTCTTCACGAGATGAAATGGAGCAGGATCGAGTTCTTCTGACAGATCTACTTCCTCGCTCAATCTGGCTGCCTCCCACTGTCTTCTCTGAAACGCCATAGAAACATAACAAAGAACTTCAATGAAGGGTTTAGTGATTACTCTTGCAATTTCTGTCTTGACCATCGAATTACTTGCAAACAATGCAATGACTTCACTGCGCCTAATGAAATCCTTCGTCAACTTCACGCATTCCACGATACATCTCAAACCCCATTGTACAGCACTACCCGTCATCTACGGCTTCAACAATGGAGGGAGTTTGCTTATAAAAGAAAACAGAATGCTTCCACCTTGAAGGCACGGGCAAAATGATATTGCAGAAGCATCATCTCCATTCACATCCTTCGCCCGACGACGTGTAACTCTAACGCTCAACTAAGAGACCTCCACTTAGCACGAGAGCTGATTTCACCTTTTCTTTTCCCCAAACTCTAGCGATCAGTTTAGCAGTGAAACTTGGACTGCCCTCGCAGTGTTACGACGAAAGAAGCGACAAGGCTGAGGATCAACCTCAATTTTCAGCCGCATTTGAGGCAAGCAAAAGAAGTCATTCAAAAGGGAACGCTCACCCCGTAGTATTTTAGAGCTTTTCATTGAAACTGCTAGCAACTGAATAGCAAGCAGGATGTGAGAATGGAAGAAGTATCTCTGCTTCAGATAATTTTGACTTCGTTGGCATTTATGCTGTACGGGAGCAATTGATGTTGGTATTTGCCACTATTTGTCAACCATAAGATGTGACACGCTTTCAATACCGAGCATCATATAAAACAAGATGCTTGAGCTATACTCTTCAATCAGTAGAAGAGGAAAAAAACAGCCACATTTAGCGCAACTCCCTTGAAAAGGAGAGGCGTTCATCAAACTCTTACCTGACTTTCGCACCGCAATGCTATCGAATTGCCCTTGCAGGCAATTAAATGATGGAATGCTCAGCGCTTATCTGACAATCGAAGATCAAGGATGAGCCGCATTTACCAAGGTTCCAAAGACCAGGCGGGCCGGGCCGTACACTTCATGCGAATAGGATGATCGCCGCACTAAAGGGATTACCGTCTGTATTCCACGGAATATTAAACGGAGATGTGGACGACCGCAAACCCGATACTCAACTTATTCGTGAAAGCTTTGAACGAAAGGTATGAAGCTCATCATACCCTCTGAGCACACAGAAGTGAGCGCGGTCACGATATCCAGCCACCTCGGATTTTCGCCACCGTCCGAGATTACTGTGGATATGAGGGCCTAGCTTCATCAGCATAGGCTGAGGAACAATGCTGCCATTACTTTTAAAGGCCTGGGCGTTTCTCTCTATTTTAAAAGAATTTACGAGCCGGATATATACAAATTTGTTATTGCCAGGTTCTTGCCAGTTCGTGGCAGCTTTTGGATGCAGGCTGACCTGCACTGTGTAGGCCGACGGGCCTCAAAGTTGATCATCATCTCGACTTTCGTGACTTGGGTCGTGCAGCTTTTCTCGTCCATGTCATGGACTAGTCCGGAAACAACAGAAGTTGTGAGGAGCAATGTCTTTGTAAGCGAGCTGTTATATTAATACCGGAATTTATGGAAATTCTATGAAACAGTCCATTCCAACAAAAGGAGACAAAAAAAGGAACAGCAAGTAAAAAAAAAGCCATTTTGATAACATAGAGCCCATGTTAATACAGCAAAGCAAAAAGGCAAGGGTTTAAGTAAAAATTACAATCCGAAAAGGAAAAGAAAACGAACTCAAAGGAATACTTACAAGCAGGGCTGACATTAGGCTTTTGGAGGCAAGATCGGTCCTCGCTAGTGAAAGGAGCGCTGCTAGTTGTGAGCTGAAAAATGTTCCTCGATAATCTCTCGTTACTCTGAAAAAAAGAAAACAAATGGCCGATTCTACGTCTCGTGCTGATGACCTGAGGCTCACTAACGAGGCGACAGAAAGGTTATTTCTGATAATTGCAGAAGAATAGACATCACCGTTACACCGTAATATTAGGTCATCCCATTCAAAAGTGCCGAAGATCTTAACCATATTAAATGAAGAAAAAATAGATAGAAAAGTAATATTTTGGCTTTGAGTTAAGTAGATCCCTCCTTCACCAATGACCCGCTCCCAGGCCCCGAAAGCGTTTGGACCTCTGGTACCTTCGGTTTTTCAACAAGTGCGAGTAAATTGCTGTTGATGCCAATTTCGGCGAATGACAAAACATTGTAGCGTTTGCCGTCGGAGAGTACCCTCGACTGACCAGAACAGTTGGAATCGAACGGCTTTATGTTGGGCGAATGGGGCGATTGAACCCAGGTCTCAGTATTGTTTGTGTCCCAGCACTGCCCTACAATACAGTTACTCGGGGTCTGGCACTATGACGAGCAACGGTGGCCTTCTTGTAGTTGTGTGGTATCATTTGTCGATCTGATTGCGGAGGAACAGTCAATACGATTTTATTCTCTGTATAGAGCCGCCTGAAAGCCACAGTGTGGGAATCCTTTGCTATGATGATCATCCACTTGCGCCCACGTAACTCTTCATGGTAGAACTCGGGCGGCTTCTCATCTGCATTCATACAAAATTGACGGTTTGGCTCGAGACCACCCATATTTCATCCGGGCCAGGGTGCGTTTTCACAGTCGTGAATGACATCTCTTGCTGAGAACATTACTGCTACAGGCATAGAATCGGTACTGCTCTTGTGCTTCTATTTGTTGTCCGGAAAGTTCTCAGCGTTTTGAGTGTTTCACTTTAAACGATCATAACTTTCTTAATACTCATCGGATTAATAAGCACCATTCGAATCAGCACACTTTTGCCAATGTGACACCAGTCGAGAAATCCCATCAAAGAAAAAAAACTGGGTGGTCGAGAATCCACGAAGGCTTTTTTGCCTGGTCCTGATTGATGAAGTATTTTCCAGCAAGGAAGTTCTGAAAATGTTTGAAAAGGTGATAGTCGGTTGGTGAAAGGTCTGGAGAATATGGCGGGTGAGGTAGAACTTCAACCCCCAATTCGTTCAATTATTAGGTTGTTCGAAAAGTCCTGCGACACTTTGATTGAATTGTTCTAGAAAAAGACCAAAAATCATTTTGGATGTTTTTATCCCTGATTAGTGGAGTGTGTCCTCTGGGGTTTCTGCACATGGGTATATCATGACTTTGTGGAAGTTTTCAAAGCTTAAAAGTCCCTCAGAGATCGAGGTACTTTTCGACCTATCCCATATTATGAGTTCCTGTAGGGCAACTCCGCCGTAGTCGAGGAAGCTAACACTTACGTTGTCTTGAGGAAGGAGATCGCTTGCCATGAAAGAGTAGCTTTGCATCAGCGCTTCCAGGCTGGACTTATTTAACTCGTAGTTAGGCAATGTGTAGGTCGCCCACCAGCACAGAATGACGACCCTTTACTCAAGCTTCTTGAGCCGCAGCCGAAGGTAACCACCAGTAAGTTGGCAACCTCTCTAGGCTCCACCTGCCTGACAACTTCCGTGCTTCTCCGCAATCTCGTTATCGGAAAAATTCTATGTGAAGGATGCCTCATGAGTTGGACCCGTCTGACAAGTCATACCGAATGACCGCATGTGGGAATCAGGCCACGTCAAAAAATCATGAATTTTGATCAGAGAATGCGACCGTACCCAGGTTATTCAGCAAAGTTAGCGGCCTCTAATTATCACCTCTTTTGGTCCCTATTGCATCCTTTGAAGAGCAAAAAGCCCGAAAATCGACCTCAACTCGAGAATGAGGTCCACCTCTTCTTTTTATCACAGTTGCCGTAGTTCTATGAGAATGGAAATGAGAAGCTGTGCAAAAGAAGGGACTAGTCCTAGTCATCAACTATGGTTACCTTGTGGATTGGAGATGTCTTTGGGTGACAGAAAATTTAGTGCGAAAAATTTGGTCCAAAGTGTCGCAGGACTTTTCGAACAACCTAATATATAGCGATTTGTGAAACGTGTGGGCGGGCGTTGTCATGCAAAAGAATCGGACCCTTTCTGTTGACAAGTGCTGGCTGCAGCTGACGCAATTTTCGGTACATTTCGTTAATTTCTTCACAGTACATACATCGCCTTCAGAGTGGAGGAAAAAAAGAGCCTCTTTTTGCCCCCATCCTGTATATCGGTGGCTCTGAGATAAGGTGAAGCCCATTACCTAGTAAAGCGTAGATATTATACTCAGATCGTTCTCAGAAAACACGCTAAAGGACCTTCCCTCAACACCTTCAGTTTATAGCTGCAGTTCCATGGTTCTAAAAAGTTGCTGGCCTGTATGAATGACACTTTGTTCTAAATGAACATTTCGGTTTGAAAAATAATTCAAATAGCTCGCCTCCTGCGGTGAAAGATCGTACCAATGTTCAGAAACTTTCTCTTGCTTCGAATGACCAAACTGCATATACTGCAGATACTTCTTCGCTTGTTTCATATATCCTGCAAAGGGATCGCTCATTGTTTGTTTATTTTATATTTTTTATGTTTTGTACGACCCACTACAAAAGAAATTAGACAACATGGTCGCAATAAACTCCGCTCAAGACGACGCAAACTGAGTTTTCGTTCCTCACGAAATTCAGGTGACTCTGCAGATACTCACAGCTGGCTGACTCTGAGTGTGACACTGCGTTCATGCCTGATTATCAATGTGTTACGACAGACGTGACCAATTCCGTAGGTAGCGCAAACTTCGTGACATGAATTGGAGGCAAAAGCACAGCCAGATTCTCTCAAACTGACCCCACGACCTCTTACCTGCAACGTCGACTCGTTACCTGTTGTGCTGTACTTCCAACTCACACCTTCTCCCTCTCGTATATGTAAGGACGCCTCTGCGCTTCCATACCATAGCATGTAAAACAACAACGCGGGTAAAACACTATCCATAACTTTTTTCATAGAGTGGTTTCGCAAGTTTGTGGAAGGTCTCAGCTCCTGAGTCCCAGTATGCGTACGTCGGTGTACATCACATTCCGAGACTGGCCGGACTGACCTGTTGGCCTTTCCTGGTTAGGACTGGTTGGGTTTCTAGGGGGTTTTTTAAACATGAAAACTAAAAGTGAACCAGAAGTGGTTTCGAGCGATTGG